TATTTCAATTGAAATTACAGTATTTTGAGCATGAAAATATAGAGGTAGAAAGCATCCTGGTGGTAGATGTTTAATAGTGGCTTATAAACTGGACACAGAAATGGTTTGAGGATCCTGTAAGAGTCGCCAACGTTCAATGCAATCGATAAGAATTCGAAATATCGGTAATGGAATTTTTGTATCCGTCAATTGAAATGAATTCAAATAATCCTTCATACAATCCAATATTTTGTGTTCATATTGATAATTGTTTTGAATTAAAAAATCATCGTCAGCCGAAGACGGTAGATATTGCGGAAGAAACAGATGATTTAAAATAGATTCATTTATTTCCATGAATCGAAAAGATTGTTGCTATTGGATAAAATATTCGTTAATACTTTAAAAAAAGGTACAATCAGATAGCATACGTAAAACGGTTAACTAACTGCTGTAAGGGAAAGAAAAGGAAGTTAATGGATATCTGGAGAGCAAGCAAATATCTGAGTTATATAAAGAGAGAGCACATGACAAATCAAATCTACACTATGCTATCCCATTCTTTATCAACAAAAGCAAAATAAATTAAACTATATTTTCTCTACTGAAGTGTATTCTTGGCAACCAACTATCGATAAAAAGAAGAAGCTTTGCCTCGATTAGTTATACTGAAAGACATTCTGCCTGTATCACAGACCGTGAACGAAAACTGAGCTATCCAGACGAATCAGTTAGAACCGGTTCTAACAGCGTCATCAACGGCAGTAAAGGGCTAAAAGCTCGTTTAATTACTGTATTAAATTTCATCATATCTCGTTGGAATCCATCATTTAATTTTACAGATAATGATTTCGCTGTTTTATATCAGTTAACATCGTTCTCGGGCATTCCGTGAAGCGAATTAAACGTTGCCATTATCAACGCCTCGAGTTTTGAACCACACCGACAACGGCGACATTTGGTTTTCAAAAATTGGGTTCACTTCACGGATCCGTTCTCGGGCTGTTTTTTCGAACCTGGGCGTTGCATATCTATTTCTGATTGAAGGATTTCGAACTACAAAGTATATTATGCTGTGCGAATTGTAGCTGCTCTTACTTTTTATGTCTCATATACGCATCGTGTGTGCAAACTGTCCCCATTGTATTATACAGAATCTCTGATATATGGTAAGTTTCGATGAGAAGAAATGTTTAATTACTTGTTCTTTGTGCTGTTTTTGCATTTATTTACTCGAAACTGTCTGTTCCAAACATCCTTTTAAATATAAATCTCAATAATAGTGTGAGTAGGTATTTTTATGTTCATTGTGACGAAATTAGATAATATTTTTTTGAAAGTATAAAGATGTACGTTATATCTCAATACGCAATCAACATATTATTTCAACGGGCTCTTATGCGTCTACTAATACTATCTACGCTATACTTATATCAACGCTACATATATTACTGCCTCTTTCACCTTATATATATCAGCCAATGTCAACGGTCGGACGATGATAACCAGGGAAAAAGAAAATTGAGAAAATAGCATAAAGTCAGTCTTCTTATAAATCCGATATACGAAACAGAGATAAAAGTTATGTTATTAAGATAATGTGTAATGCACGTGTTTCTTATCTACTAGCATGCTCATGTCGTTTCTTTGTTAAAATAAATAATTTGCTGCGCTTGGGAAAAAAATACGATGAAGCAAAGTTTAGTTTTTCTATGAGGGTTTGCCATTGTTTCTTTTACTGGGCAATGATTATTCTCCAATAAAGTGCTGCTTCTTTGCCTGAACAAGCGTTTGTTATGTTTTATGATAAGTGACGAGGGTCGTTAAAAGATAAAATTGGTCTCCTACTGAATTTATCCTTCATACTACACCTTACATATTCAAATACCTCGTGAGATATATAAAAGATATATAATTACGGGAAGATTTCTTAGAGTTTTCAAATAAGACCGATTTTGCTAGCAAATCCACTTCGGCCCTTTCCTTCGTATTTTATCCAATCATTCAAAAAAAACTACATAAAACTGTAACCGTTTTTCGAACAGTTCTGTTAGCAGTGATTCACTCTCATCGTTCCCTTGGTCTCTTTCTCTTATCTCTCTTCTCTGGTCACTGAGTGTGGGTGTGGGTGTAGCTGCGGCTATTGGTGAAGAGAAAACTCGACACAGCACAGGCATCCACGGCCACAGGCTACCAATACCCACACTCGTTGTACTTGTTGACTTTTTTTCGTCATCTTTTATTCTTTCAAACAGAAAATGAATTTTTGCATACTGTTGAAAACTGTCATCATGTTGTATATTTCGCATTCATTCAGTAACTAACATCAAGCTTGAGTCATTGTACCATAATACATTTGTAATAGATAAACTTCTAAACCTGCTTAAAATGTTGATTCATAAATGAGAACATTAATATTTTGACCTAAAATAAAACGAGTAATATGATGCAAAGACAAATTCTAACTTGTTGGAATAAAATCATTTGATTGTTTTACAACTATTACTAAATGCTAATGATTATCAATCAATATGTCGAAGAACTAATGCATTTGCATCATAAATATGTTCAACAAGAAATGTCTGAACTGCATGTAATCGAATTGATTTTAATTTATCAAAACAATATATTTCTTCTTACGTATTTTTCTGCCAATATTTGTTAATATTCGATTAAAAACTACATGAACATCATTATCAAATTCATATTCATCAGTAAAATAATTCCACTGTTTTCGACCAACATCAACATATTTATTTGGATGAATTAAGGTTAATTTTTCATATTTACGACCAAAATTTTCATAGACATATCGACACTGTTGAGATATATAAACAAAAGGAATACGAGAGAGAATTTTATCAGATTGATCACTATAAATATGACGAATTAGACCAATTGTATATCATCTGTAGATTCGACCACTTAAATAGAACTTCATGAAAAAAATAATAATTGCATTTCATTCATTCAATCACTTTATATGAATTAATATGTCACTAGCATTTCGACGTTTGCTTGGACAAACAGAACCAGTACAAAGAAAAACAATTTCAGGATATCTATAATTAATAAATGTTTAAATGCCAATGAAAAAACTTTTCTTTACCTATGTCCTGTTTTAACAATTTCATGCATAACTTGTAATTGTTGTTTAGAAGTGACAAATGTTTGTTTAAATTCTTCATTTGCAAGTATCAAATCAATTTAATTAAGATTGTCGTTGAAGGACAAACAGTTTTGAGTTATCTAGTTCGAGAGTTACATGCATTGGTATACGAGTACTTGTTAACCCATAACTAATGTTTCCCATGGCGTAAATTTCTGCGAAAAAAACGTGTTCTCAAAACGCGTTTTTCCATAGTTGCGAAACGCGTTAATGCTGACCGGTTTAACGCGTTTCACATCTGCTAATACGAACGCTGTGAAACGATCGTTTTGCTAAAAACGTTTCGTAGCGTTTCTCTAACTGTGGTGTCGTATATTCTAGATGAAAAAAATGAAAACCGTCAAGTATTTCATGCACTTTGAGTTGCAGATACAATTAATGTTCTCACTTACTGTTTTCATACACCTTTAGAGCTATAACTTAGATGAATTTCGATAAAGCCAACACATAGATTCGAACACGAGAACATAAGAGTAGAAGACATGTGTACAAACCGTTCAACTAAAATAATCTAATGATATAAGTG